TACACGGTTTGATTCACCAGGATGAGGTGGCGTTATTTACACGGGTAAGTTCCATTAACTCTTTTGATTCACACTGAACAGAGGAGGCAGACTGTAAGCGTTAAAATAACAGAGTGAATTAGCAAATAGTTCTTCAGCATCTCTGTGTTTATTCATTTATGGTATCAATAATGTGGATTATTAATACCAGAACACTCAAGCACTATTCAGCCATCCTGTTCTTTTTTAACCAGTTAATTCTGACAACTTGAACAGTACAATAGAAGGCACACTACAGCTTTTCTTGACTCTGTCCCCTGCAGAGAATTAAGCAGTAACTGCAGACACACAAAAATCTACACAAAATAAATTTAACATGAATTACGCAAACAGAAAAAAAAAGGTGCTTTCCTTTGGGAAACCTGAACCTACTATATTTGTATTCATATCAATATAATAAAAATAAGTATTTTCAAAAGAGATTATTAAATCAGCTTGGTAAGGTATCTATTTTGTACTGTAAAAAACTCTGTAACACTAATATTTTGTGGGGAAAAGTATGCTTTCCGTTATTACAGAAATAGAAAGGAAGAAGAGAAATTGTTAATTTCCCTGAATTCAGCAAATAGATGATTACTTCTGTTTCTTTTATTTAAATAGTTTTCTTCTTCAGTCGAGATAGCTATGGATTCATTGTTGAATTTTTAAGAAGAAATGGTTTGCAAGACCTGCTATATGAGTGAAACAACACTGTACTTTAATTGTTTATGTATATTGAGTTTAAATATGTATTATATTTATCATTTAAAATAATTCAATACTGTGGAACATTTTTTTTTTTTTGCTGGAAATGTGCCATTTTATTTAATTACTGCAAGCATATGCCTTTTTCAAGGTGTGGTAAAGCTATACAAATTCAGCCAAACATGAATTCAGGTTTCCCAGTTCTATCTTAGTAGAGATCATTTTTGCCATATATATATAGTTTGCCATAAATATTTCTGTTACTGAGTTTCTTTTGATCACTCTATGCCATAGATTCTGTTTCTTGCAGGACCATTAATTCATGAAAATGTAGGACTGATGGACCTCCTCAGTCACCAGGACCCCCTATTATCACAGGCAACCATATAAACTAATCTTTTGCATTAAGTGTTTACAACTTCCATTGCGCAGCATTATTACTTATAATAGTACCTAGGGTTACATTCTCTCTGTTTACTGCCCTTGTGTTTCTGCAGTAAAGAGCAGAATTGTATGCTGGAGTGAAAAACATTTAGATTCTATTACCTGTCCTTCGCTACTACTTGTTAAGCAAGTACTACCTTACAAATGAATTGCAGGGTCAGGGTCATGCTTATTTAAGGCACGTACCAGACATGCGTTACTCTGCCAAAGGACTGCAGTCAACCTGCCACAAAAGACCCCTGAATAGGCAAGACAAGCTTTGAAGATCTCACAATACATTGGTGCATCCAATAAGCTAATTTGCTACAATTCCAGTTCAAAATGTGCCTCTCCTTTATAAAACCTGTAAGTTGTTCAGTGGTGCTTTCTTTTTCGTTCTCTCTTTGGACTGTCCTAGGCCACGTATTTTTTGGCTTGTGCAGTGAAATGAAATTTGAACCCTTTTGCAGGTTGGAAAGGCAATTCCAGCGCAACATTGGCAATTCTGCAAACACTGGTGGAGTGACTGATGCAGATGAATGAGCAAACAACCACGTGCACCAGATTCTGCCGCTCTCACCTGTAACAATAGCCAAATCTACACATCATCCTATAGAAGATAATGGAACCGTTAAAAGACTTAAGATGGGACTAAAGGAAAATCACTGCAGATAAAGAAAAGGATTCACAATAGTGTCCTCACTTTCCTCACTTCACAGTGCAGTGCTGACTCAATTATTCTTTTTTTTAAACCAAGTATTAAGGAGCCTGACCACCTCACTGATAGTTATTCCTGAGTAGTAACGTTAGCATAAATTGAATGATGTTCCAGTCAGAGCTTCATCTTGCTCGAAGTGTTTACTAATCTATAGATTATGAATGGCTGTATGTAAATAGTAAAAAAAATTTTATTGTTTCACTGACATTGGTGTAAGTATTTCTTGACTTAGGTAAATTATGCAGATTACCCAAAGTACTGTTTTATGAGTCACATACCAGAGTGTATTTTACATTACATTTTAGAAGTGCTGTGAGGATTAACAAAAAAAAAAGGGGGGGGGGGGGTAAATCTGACATATATTATTGTAGATATATGCCCTGCATTCTATAGCTGAAGTGTTATACTAGTCATGGTTGTGTCATTTTAAAAAATCATTTCCAGTTTTGCATCTGTTTCAAAGTCTGAAAAGCATAGTAGCAAAAGCTAAACAGGATTATCTAAGAGCATGTTCACAAAATGATTCAGTTGTGTCCTAGTAGAAATTTCTGATAGTAACTGATTCTACCAGAAAAAAGCATCACAAAAGGACTGAGGCTGGAAGCTAGGCTGAAACTAAGGCACATACTTGTCATGAAAAAGAATAATTAACCTAAGTGTGTAGTAGAGCATCCATCGCTCCAACAGGTATCTTTTTAAGCAGTAGGCAATAGCTTAAATAGAATATGTAAACTTGATACAAAAATTGGGCAGGCAGGATTCCTTAGTGTTATGTGGAAAGTCAAGATGATCATCTTACTTTTATGAAATCCTGCCCATATTTCAGTTAATGCAAGTTTTTTCATAGGCATGTATGGGACAAGGATTTGGCACATATAGTCAACCATACAGAAAAGAGTATAAAGAATCCTTTATACTCTAAAGAATTGATGCTTTATATTACTCCAAAGTCTAGAATACTATCTTTTTATGTTTCCAGCATTTTATGCGTTAACAGTCTAAGTATAAACTTCATATTGGTCCAAGCCTTATTATAGCAAGAGAAATTTGTAAATTCTTGGTATTTTATCAGAATGAGAGTTGGAAGTGGCTATTTTTGAATCATCTGCTTAAAAAAAAAAAGTGTAAAAGCTTTTCAGAAAATGGAATGTTGAACTAGCAATAGATTAGTTGGATGAAGCGGAGCTTGGAATGTAAAATTCAATGCAACTGGCCACACCTATGAGAGATTACGCCTTTTTTTGCAAAGTTTTGAGTACTTGCACTTCTTACCAGCTTCAGGAATTGAGCACCACAGGCAGACGAGATACAATACTAATACATTGCTGAAGTTATATGAGAATAACTGTACTAAGTCATAACAAAGGCTCACCTATCCTGGCTTTCTATCCTGTCTCTAACCACAACCTAACGAAAAGCTTAAGAACAGGGCGCACACAGTTATACTTCCCTTAATATGCTCTCCCAAACTCTGGCACTTTGTGCCTTAGCTATTTCCTGAGCCAGTCTTTGCAAGAACTTCACACAGTAAGCAATAAATACAGAATACATAATGTGCAAGGGTTATTAGCACAATTTGAGCATTATCACATTACATGTTATAGTACCCTGTGCAATTTATGTTAGACAGATTTCTCTCTCTTGAGAAAGGGACATGAAGACAAAAGCATAACTTGTACAACATTGTCTGTTCTACACTGAAGGACATTCAGACAGATGTTTTAATCACTTCTAATAACTTGGTTACACATACTGCATGATTATTTTTCAACCATGGGGATATATCATTATTTTAGGTCCTCCCAGCAACCACTCCAAAGATCTAAACTTATATGTATACTTGCACATACACAAACACACAATAATTGTCATACCAAACAGTCCAGCAATTTCTAATTTTAAATATTAAAAATGTGATCTACCTCGATCTGTCAAGCAGCAATATTGTCTCATAAAATAATAATGATTCTTATTTTTTGATTACTGGCATGCCTCCGGCACAGAAGCAGGAAGGTGATTTAGGAAAGACATTCAAACACTTCTCCCCAAAGGCACAATGACCTCAAGGTTCAAAACTAGCTTTCTCCTACCAAAGCTTGAGCTGGTGCTCTCATACATTATTCAAACATCACAGAATTTGAGAGAGAGTGCATTTTAAAATCAAGAATTTCATAGGCACAGAGAAGTGACCCTGGAAGCTAAACAAGAATTGTATTTGTTGCTGAAGCTGTTTCTTAATTAGTTTCTTCCTGACAAACATGGCTAAAAAGGTTCTTGTAAAACAGACTCCAATGGTTTGGCAGTTGATTGATTAACAGTATTTATTGTACATGTCATGAATGGCACTTACACCTTGGAAATCTAGGTACTATAGCGTTACATTCTATTAGAAACACTACACAACCATTTCCCTAATATATATTTGCAGCAATTACGACTGCTTTACTTTTTTAATGCTAGCAATTACACTTATGTTTGTTTTCACATAATTTCTCTTTAGGATAGCCTGAGAGAAATCAACCGCTTATGGGACAGAATTTGTTGTTTTGTTTTAAATAATGTTTCTGTGCATTTCAAAATCTACCATTTCTTTAAAAAAAAAAGAGTCTGTGACTTTAAGTCATTTTCTGTAATAGTCTACATGTTAATTGAGACAAGGTTCATGTGGCATAAATATGAATGTTACAAGCAAGTTGCAGTATTTTGAATACCACTTACTTGTTGTTTTCATTAAGATAAAACTCACCGACTTCATTATGACAAGTATTTTTGAGAACGTATTCTCACAAATACTCTGCCTTTCTTTTCTTTTTTTTAATACAACATAGAGGCCACCACAATTACAATAAAATTTCAACTTATTATGATTTGTTTTCCTCCAAAAGCAACACGGTCAACAAAAGAATCAACAGAAAGTAAACACATTGCACAGTTAGTCAAAATGTACAAGCCAACCAGCTGGCTCTACAGGTAGGGGGAAGAATTCAGGCTCATTCAACTAAAGTAAATGGCACTTTTCAGTCAAATTTGGTTTCACTAGGTCTCATTCTGCTTCATCTTTTGCTCTTCTACTTCATCATTTTGTATTTCCCCATCAATTTTGGGAATGATTGCAGTAGAATTTTCTTTTTACTACTGTTTCCTGAAGGAGTGACAATTTGTAACACCTGTTAGCTTCCGCGTCGGAGAATTTCTCTGCAGGTGTTGAGAGGACTGCACTGTAGGTGTCCCTGGCAGTGAAACATGGTAGAAGTTTGGTAACCGAATGTCATATCTAAATCCTTTTTCCACTTGTACCCTGTCATTCAAGGCATATAGTTTTTCAGCAATGTCACTCCCAATTAAAACTGAGAACAGGCGTGAGATGAAACGGTGTTTAGCAAACAGCAAATACAGCTTCTTTCTCCTCCAGGCCACATATCGACAATCTGTCTCTGCTGTAAGTGTTACCTATAAAACAGAAAATTAAAATTAGCTAGATAATGATCAGTGGTATTGCTGCTGCTGCCGTCCTTGCTCAAAAACACCTCTCTCCCTTCCTATTTTTCTTTCTGTCAGCAGTCACTTATGCTGTCTGTCACATATACTCTCTCATCTTTGTATCTACCGTAATTAAAGCCATTTAATCCAGCTAGAGAGCTCCGTGAGATCTACTGCATGCAAAAGACAAGTGAGAAGGAAAACTGGGAATGGGCACTAAAGACTATCTTGTCAGCCTCAAGGGCAACTATGAATGTCTACACTGCTGGCAGCAGCCTAAGCCAGGACGCAGGCTAACAGCATGCCCCAAATCTGGCTGTGCACACCTGCTTTGCTCTCTGCAGCTCAGACTGGGAAGGCAGGTCTAAAGAAAGCTGTCTACAAATGTCGTTTCTCCTTGAGACACGAGACATAGGATCCATCACAAGCAGGAGCTAACTTGTCATCCTGACCTCAGTTAAGTGACACCACTGTAAGGGCTCATGGATCACAGGGTGCTAGCCCAGATGGACACCATGTGCCACGCTGCCTCCCTATGCTAACTTGTACCCCAGGCACAAATTTCCCCAGCTGGCTTGCTCTGAATTTTGCCTCCTGCAGGCCTCTTCAGCACACAGTCCTACCCACCTCCTGTGAGCGTGGTCTTCTAGGTCTGCATTTTAGCACACTCCAAAAATGCAAGCGTAGTCTAACTGTGAGATTAGCTTTTGGAAGAACCTAACTTGTTGTAACAACAAGAAACCAAACGGAAAGAAGATACAAGCAGCATAACCAGTCCAGTGGGAAAGGGAACTTCCCTCCCCAAAATACTGGCAGGTCAGGTATTTGTATAATTTCACAAACTAAACCCATAAATAAATGAAGTTATTTCTGCACTGATTAATACTTGAACAATTTTCTGTATTATTTAAAAAAAAAAAAAAACCTCCACTTTTACCTGGAAAATACCCTCTTCTGTGGGCCTCAGTGAATCCCATTCAGGAGAATCCAGAAATTGAAGAGGAAAAATATAATGCAGAAACTCTCCATCAACTGTCACTCTGATCCTACCGAGATAAGACGTGTTAATTTGTTAGTACTATGTGTACAGTAGCAAGGACTGCAACAAGAATGTGTTATTTCTAACATATGAGGAGTCTAAATACAGCTTTGATAGCAAAAAGTAATCATTGGCCAACAGTATTCTAACTATGTAATGTTTTTGCACATAGCTGGATCAGACAAGTTGAATGACAGTACAAAACAATTGTGCAATGGGAAATCAAATCCTACCTGGGGCAGGTAGGATTATCCTATTATCCTACCTGGGGCAGGTCTGTGCAGCCACATGCAAACCTCGTCAAGAAAAGGCTAGCATGCACTGAAGAGCACATAGCATGCACTGGGGTAACGCACAGAACCCCATATGCCTCCTTTGCTGGAAAGGTCCTCGTTCGGCAAATACGCCTTTTAGAGGGGGCAAAGTGGCAGAGGCAGGCAGTGTGGTGTGGGAGTTCCCAATACGTGTGGCATGTATCACATCGGGCTCTCTCAATGTTTAACAGGAGTTGCTTTGCCACAGGACTGTGTCTAGCCAGGGGAACAGCACGGAGGTAGGAGATCCCTGTGGCCTTCTGCAGACGCCGAAGACAATTTTCCTGTATACTTTTGATCATATTTAAGTTTGAAGAGACATGAGCAGGAAATGTACACTTGAATCTCATGACCTAAAAGAAAACAAACAAGTTGTGGGAGCCCCCTTTTTCCATCTGCTCAGGACCGAGATTAATGCTTCTTCCAAGAGCACAGGAAGCAGCCCTATCATGCTCAGAACAACATAGCAGGAACTCCCTGTGCCATTACCGAATGGCTGGGCACGTAGAAGGATGGACACCTCTCCTTCAGTATAGCTGTAGCCAAAGGCAACCTCCAGACTGTACTTTCTAAAGAGCTCCCAAGAACGTGTCAGACTAGGGTGTCTGTAAGGCTAACTACATAAATTTCATATTGGTCATTACAGGTATTCCTAAGTTAGCTGAGTTTCAAGCTGCCTACAAGTTTCTTCTGTCCATGCACCTGTCAAAATGCACCTAGAAAGTCTCTCAGCAAAATAATCAGAGATAGACCCTCGTTGTCATCTCTGGCTATCCAATCTGCCCTTGTGGTGGTGAGACCAAGAGATAATACAAAGGTCCAGGATCATTTCTATGCAGTAAGTAAGCGGGTACTTCCCCTCCAAAAAGCATCAGTAGGGTTGTCTTAAGGCTTGCTAGAAGGGTCTCCAGTAAGCAGGGAGCACAGGCACGTGGCTATTTTGCCTCAGGGCCTTACTAAGGGCCACAGTAACTGTAGCGTCAACTATGCAAATTTTAGTAGGGCTTTAGTAGGTCCCTTTGTAATGGAAGGGGGTTGTTGGGCCTCCTCTTTTTTTTTTTTCCTTATTCCCTCCATCCTCCCACCTCTCACAAAGCAGCCACAGTCAAGATACTCTATTAAAACAGGGTACCTCAGGATATTCAGTTTCATAACTACATTTTAGTGCTGTTTCAGATGTCTTTAGCAGAGAAAAAACAAGAAAGATGCGTTAGTCAGCCAGGCAACAGATAGACTGCAAAACAATGTGAAGACTGAGGCACACATTTACGCTCCCTTTATCTGAGTAAGCTGGAAGTGCTATGATACAATGGTCTAAAAAAGAATGATGATTTAAAAATCCTCTTCTTTAAGCTCTTACAGACTTTGTGTTTAGTGTTGCCATGTTAGTGCTGTCCCCTAGACAAGTGTATTTCGCCTGTTAATATTTATACATTTATGCATTAATATTTAATCTATTGTACTGGAAAATGAACAAACAATACACAAATTAGGCATTTCTTGCTTTCCTTTTCAAGAAAGGAAAAAGAAAGAGATATTTACAGTAAGCAAGTCAGAACAAACTGATACAAACCTGCCTGATACAAGCAAGGACAGTTTATCAATAGGTGTTTTGCCTTGCATAGCGTAACAGTGCTCCTTCTCCAGAGTAACCACTTCTGCATCACAACACAAGACAATCTTCCTATAGACAGTTAAGGAAATTCCTAGAGGCTGAAAAAGAGCACTGTAGAGTTCCTGGAATTCTTTGTCAAAGGACACACTCCGAACTTGGTAGGTAACATAAATGAACTGTACGAAGCATATAGCAAACAGTATAAAGTTCCAGGAGAATATGTCAGCAGCACAGACATCCAGCCAAGCCCAAACAGAAGAGCAGAGAAAGCCCAGTCCAAGCAAACTGAAGACATAAAGTAGCCCGAAGAATCCACTTCCACCCATGAAGCCAACAACAAAGAGAATACTAGCTAGATGGTAGATAGATCCCTCTGCCTCTTGCTTCCAAGTGGTGCAGGTAGGATGTGCATATATCAAGCTCTCCCAAAAACTTGCATTTTCTCCCATGGCTGGACTGATTTTTTGATTCATCTGAATCTTTAAATTGTTTTTATTTATGCAATACAGCTAGAAGGGTCCTTTGTTTTTCCATTCTTGCAACCTCTGCTCAACGATCACATAATGCCAGGGTCTCTTTTGGTAGTGAAGTTGCACTTAAGATCTCCAGCACTTAGGAAGCTAATGTTCCCAGAAGGCAATGCCATTTGTCATCAGCTCACGCGTTGTCTTGACTTTGGCTGTGTCATCTGTAGTTTTATCTAATCTGGAGAAGTGAAGAAAATATGTATTACTTATAAAATGATTTTCAGCAGTTAAACTCCAGCAAAGCTTTTATTATCTAAAGCCACAGACTGCATTACAGTTATACAATTTCCCAAGATCAAACCTTTCTATTCATTCAGCTGAAGATCACGTCTTTGCATTTATGAACCCTGCAGGTCCAATTGCCACTAGATCCATGTAAACATCCACACAAAATCCAAAACATGCTGTGACAAGTCTTTCCACAGCTTAACAACTCACCGGAGAGAAAGTAGTCACATCTGTTGGTTTTGAACCTGCCACCTATCAGCCTCATTTAAAGCCCTCCCTCGTTCTTGAGCCAGAAGAGACAATGAACACTTGTCCCTTGTTCACTTCCTCCTCACCTCCACTCAGGATTTCTGTTGATCCACCTTCCTTTTTCCCCTTTGCCTTTCTGTTATCGTTAATGACAACAGCAAAGCTGCTTTGTCCCTGAAGACAACAGAATACATCCCCAAACATCACAGAAAGGGAAACCTAAGCATTATTGGGATGTTCTTTTCTACTCCAACAACAACAAGCAAAAAGCTGTCAAGTATAAGGAAGACTACACAGCTTAAAGGCTGCTTTATACAGATTACATTATTAGAACTTGAAGTGAGTAAGTGATCCTGCAAAATACTTCTCAAAAGGCATTTACAGAGCAATTTTACAATATCCAAAGTTCTCCCCATATAATTCCATGCTATGGAGCACATAGTTGTATTGCTTCTAATGGTAAACATGCTATTTTTTCCACATTTCAATATATTCCTAAGAGTTTAAGAAAAAAAATACACAACAACAGAGAAGCATGAGAACAACAATATGAGAACAAGAATAAAAGAAATCAAAAACAGCTTTCTGTGTCTCTCTTTTAAAGTAACAATACACTTTGCAAAGTGAGATTAGAAGCAGTAGAAAATGCAAAGCTAGAGTCTATCAGTAGTGTAATCAGAATTGAAACCCACTGAACTCTTTAGATGTTGATTTATTTTCCTGGTAAAACGGCAGGGAAACTAACAAAAATCTACCATCTAAGTTATTACTTTCTCTAGCATATCAAATGCAGCTACTTTTCCCAAGAGCCACAGAAGTCAATCGTTAAGTACTACTGGTGCACTGAAGCAGCCAGCATCATTCAGCAGGGCTTCAGTGTTGCTTTTACAATGTCATATCTAAAAGATTCACAGAGCAAATGTCCTATTTCCTAGCTTTAATTCCTTTAAGTTTATTCAAAACTCAACACTAATTCCATGATTCAAAACTACTAATGCTAAATAAAGCCATACAATCCCAAAGAACTGAGTGGCAGAGTTTAGAATAAAAGGTTAGGAAGAAACCTTCCCCTCTTTGGGAATGGGGAGAAGAATGTCACTGGCCAGTAAAAATATTACTGCTGAAGAGCAGGGCATCTTTCTGAGGTGAAGATGCTCAATATCCAACTTTAGCGGAAGAACCAGCATTACAAGAACGAGGCACTTTGTAGCTATAAGCTCCGCTGTTTGTCCCTTGACCCAAACACTCTTCTCTACCAATAGAACCATTATAGGAGACTACCTGGAGGTAGGATTTAGCCCTTTGACAACTGGAGTTCAGAAGTAGATCTGCTACAGAGGAGTTACGTAGGCATATCAACAGTATTAGGAATTTTACGTAGTACTTCTATGATCAAAGGGTAAGATTTTTGAACTGAAAGAAAATATAATTGGTGCAACAGAAACATCTGGTTCCCAGACCTTCTGTTCTGAATCCATTCAGCATTTCCATTGCACTGTCAAAGTCAGCTGCAGAAGTTTGCTTTTTTTAATAGAATCACTGATTTCACTGTCCCAATTTCTGACTATTGTTTATACTTCTACTCTATTGCCAGCATTTTGCTTCAACCAGTTCTCATAAGCGTCCCAGTTTCTACACAAAGTTCAGCGTGTTGAATGAGATCGTGACTGGCACGTTAGCATAGGAAGCTGCATGCATGCCACAGATAAAAACGCTGTGGGTCTACACTATAATGTACTTTCTATGACCAACATTTTTTTCAGCTCATAGAATTGCTGTAAAATGTCTGTTTATGACAAGATGGGTCAAAATAATTTGAGAGGAATGGAACACCATTAGGACACAGATACAGAGTCATTATACACAAAATCAAAGCCATGGAAAAATTATCCTGTATTTATAACTCTTTGTATTTGGAATATATCTTGCAAAATCACTGCATGAAAATTCCCATTTATTTCAGTATTTGTGCACAATGAGAACTTTTACAATAGAGTACTGTACTGCAGTGTCACACAGGCTATAGAGGACATCCCTCCATCAGGACAAGAAGACGGGCAAATAAGGGAGGTGAATGTTAGCATGGAATATAGCTTCATCAACACGACACTCGTCTGAGCTACTTAAGGGGGAGGACTGCGAATGAGAAAAGTGGATTTTAGAGGCTGACACGGGCAAAAATCAAACCCTCTGGAAACACTGATGAAGGCTACCGCTAAATGGAGATGGCTTTTCAGGGCTACAGCGAAGAGCAGGCATGCTTACTGCCAGTGAACTACAGGCAGAAAGAAAGGGTTCACATTTTTATCATGAAAGTATTCTAAGAGTCAGAAACCAAAAAGCATTTGCAATTTTTTTGTTATGAAGTACTAAATAGAGCAGAGAGAACAGTATGCATGGACATGAATATAGTAAAAAAAATATATATTTTTTGACAGGTATTTAGTGCTACATAAGGCCTTTCACATTTTTCATATTTTAAACTCTCAGGGGCTTCAAAGCAATCACTGTAATTATGCCATTCATACACTGCAGGCATAGGGGAGAAAGAAAACAAACAAAAAAGGCCAGCTGTGGTACTAAATGTGAGTCATCCTCCACTGAGATCCCATCTACAAAGTGCCTACAACAACAGTGCATTTCCAAGTTTATAACTACACAGATGGGACACTATCATTGCACTGAGATGCTTTTATTTTCTTAGTCAAATGAACCACGAGAGTTAGCATGCCAATTGATTCTGGTCTCATCTGAAACACCGATTTTGCTAGCCTATCTGTGATGATTAGTTATCCTTATAGTTTCATTTGATGGCGGTGATCAGGCAAGCTTCAACAGAGGATTGCATTTAAAGAAGATATCTTGGATTATAAAAACTTGCAGAACTGCATTTTCCCTGAGTAAATGTCAGAATGCTTTCTACTCCACCACACGCCCGGGGAAAAGAAAGCGTGCCTCACACAAGTCTGTCTCAGACCCCGGCTGCAGAGCGCAGTCCCCATTACTTGACTACCACATTCAGAATAACACAAAACAACATTAACAACTGTAGGCTGCTGGAACCAGAGATATACAGAAAACATCTCCTTCCAACTCTGAGAGAGGACATACCCTGCTGACACAGGCTGAAACGCTGAACCATTTCTGAATGTTTTGCCGTGCCATACACCCCACTGCCTTCAGCAGG